TGGAAGAAAGATGTGGCAATCAGCTTCCATTAAAATTATCCCCCACTGCCATCGGGTCAATTCCAACTCCTAGAATTCCTGCAGGACAGAGTGGAACTGCCACATAGAGTTTCTAAGGCTGCAATCTTTACGGAAGCTGATCCCCAAGTCTTTCTCTCCCAGAGACACTGATGGGTTCAAACCACCAACCTTCAGTTTGCGGCCAAGCACTTAACCACTGTGCCACCAGGGCTCCTTTCTGTAAGATTATAGCTTTGCAAACTCTATGGGGAATTTCTACTTTGTTCTATGGGGTTGCTATAAGTTGGAATTGACTCAACAGCAGTGGCTTTGGAGTTTTGGATCTATATGCATATAGACTAACTACCAGACTGCCTTTGAGTCTTGATTATTTTTTAACATGATGAGATGCTTTTCCTTAAAAAATGCACCCAACATTCATACTTTGGGGAAAAAAAAAAAATTGTACAGCTGTGGGGAGGTTTAGGATCCCAGAAAACCATTCCCAGATGTTTAGGTGAAGAACCCACCCAGCCTCATTGTCTCATGGAGCAGGTTAACAGATGTCGAAATGACGCTTTGGCCGTTTCCTGCAGAAATACTGGTGTCTAGACATAGAATCGGGAGCTCTGGTAGCATAGTGGCTAAGACACTTGCCTGCTAACCAGACGGCTGGAGGTTCAAACCCACCAGCCACTCCTCGGAAGGAAGGTTGGGCGATCCTACTTCCGTAGTGATACTGCCTCGGAAACCCAAGGAGGGGTCGCTATGAGTCAGGGCTGACTCGACGGCACACAACAAAAACAACAGGCACAGAATCGGTGTTTACAGAGAGCGTTGACTCACCCACCTCACCCTTCCCGCTCCCCCCACCACACAGTTGAGATTGGTGCCCAAGAGAATGGCTCCTGGATCAGCCGTGTGACCTTGGCAGGTGCCTCCCCCTTCTCTGTGCCTACATGCAATGAATTACCTAACTGGCAGAGTGAAATAAAGACCTCAGAGAGGAGGTAAGACCTTGGCTCTCAGATAACACCTGGCTCTACCGGTTACCTCTGACCTTGGCAAGTTCTTAACCTTTCTAAAAGGCTAATGATAGCCTCTTTTATCAGCTGGGGCTGGACGTCCAAGAGATAAGCTCGGTAAGACTGTGCAACTGAAACCTGAGAGATGTAACTGCTTTTGTCAAGAAAAGGTCATCCATCTCTCTTCCAAAAAGCAAAGCAAGAAACTTTTTGGGGGGAGGATGAAGGGGAGTGATGGGGTCTTAAGCAGGAGGTGAACAAGGTAACAAAGATGACAACAGAATGGCCCCGGGTGAGAGAGAGCTTGTGGGAAACACCTTGTATTTCCCACAGACCCCTTTTTGCGTCACTTGGCTCAGCTGTCTCTGGGAAACTGACAAAGCGGTGGACCCCCTGGCCACAAACACTCTCCTTGGCATACAATTTCCTGGACTTCCTAAAACCTCTGAAAGCCACCACCATCTCTACAGAAAAAAGGGAGGAAGTGATAAGTCAGGAGAGTGATCACTCTTGGGGGGACTGTGTGGAGGGGTGTTTACAGACAGCTCTGCCTCCTGACCTGGTGCTAACGACTCCGGCAAGTTCAATTTTTGCAGTCACTTTGCACATGATTTGGGCACGGATATATACATGTTGTTGTGTGCCGTTGAGTCCATAGCGACCCCTCCTTGGGTTTCCGAGGCAGTATCGCTACGGAAGTAGATTGCCCAACCTTCCTTCCGAGGAGTGGCTGGTGGGTTTGAACCGCCAGCCTTCTGGTTAGCAGTCAAGTGCTTTAGCCACTATGCTACCAGAGCTCCTATACATATTATACCTTGGTTAAAAAAAAAAAATTAAGACCCAACCTATCAGATAAAGGTTTGGCAGGAGACACTCTAAACAGGACAATGGCATTTCTACCAAGTGGGACTGTGGCACCCTCCGCGATGCCAAACCCGTCTGTATTTTTTAATTTTGTCTTTTACATTCACTGCAAATTATTTTAGAATGAGGGAAAATAAAGTCTGTAAAGGTGTTTTCCAAGGTGTCAAGGGTGGTGTCAGACAGAACTTTCTGCAGTGACGGCAGGGTTCCACATCTCTGCAGTCCAATCCAGTAGCCCCAGCCACATGCAGCTACTGAGCATGAATTCATTAATGATTAATTAACTCGCATTTTAATGGAAATAGCCACGTGTGGGCTAGGGCCTAGTGTACTAGACCTACCCTGCTGGTCCAGGGCAGAGCATAAGGGAGTTTATTATCATATTCTTGCTACTTTTCTGTAGGCTTGAACATTTTTCCCAGGTCTGCTTTTAAAAAGGTTTTTTTTTTTTTTTTTTTTAATTTTTATTGTGATTTAGGTGAAAGTTTACAGAGCAAATTCAGTTTTTTGAAAAAATTTTTTGTTGTGATTTGGGTGAGTTTACAGAACAAATTCATTTTCCATATAGTAGTTGATACATATTGTCTCATGACATTGTCTGCAGTCCCCACAGTGTAACAGCTCTCTTCCCACATCCTCCTTGTCAGTCACCTCTTCCCTGTGTCCCTCTTTCCTGTGCATTCCTGCCCCCTGACCTATCTCCCTGTCCAAACGCTGCCCTTCTCTTCTCCCATAACTAGTTGCTGGAAGGCGTGTTCACCCTATTGCTTGTCTATTGGTTGGCTGGAAGCCACAGGAGTGTTTCCAATTTGAGACTTGAGGAGTAAATAAGGGCCATCTTCTCGGGCTCTCACCCGGCTTTATCACACCAATAAACCTGGTCTCTTTTATGATTTTGAGTTTTGTCCCACGTTGTTCTCCCACTCCATCCAGGATCTCCGGCACTGGTCCCAAAAGGGATCAATTTCAGAGTTGAAGGAGGAACACAGACAGAGACAAAACAAAAGCGCTGGCATTATCGGTAGCTTTATTAAATTCATGTACCTTCTAAAAAAGATTACAAAAAGGAATACTTCATTTAAGTGTAATACTGTCTTTATGGACCGTACCGTGGTCGGAAAGTGAAAATAAAGGCCATGAATATACGTGAGAAGAGAAGGCAGGGCCCCTGTGGCCCGCCTTAACGCCCAACCCCTGCATGGGGAGAGAGTAAACAGCCTGGATAACCAGAGACTTATCTGGAGGGTCTAGAGCTTCTGGGCCAATAAGCTGCTTCTAGAAGCTTAAAATAAATGTACTCGCGCACTCACAGGCTGGCTGGAGAGCTAACTCTTGTACCGCTTCTGAAAGCTGCCCGAGGCCTCAGGCTCCATCAGACACAAGAGGTCACACCTCCAGGCTTGGCTCTGCTTCCTCTCCAATTTACACGCTAACACACGACCTTGTGTGTCCCGTGTGCCCATCCAAGCTCTTTTGTCTTAGGTACACCCCATAAATAAAAATCAAAGCAAGCCAGGCTACACGAAGCCAAGGAAATCTACTTTTCTAGGAGAGAAGCCAGCATTTAGCTTTACTGAATGAGTGTGTAAGCTTTGAGAGCTTACTTTTGCCCTGTTGAGGTTTGGCTCCAAAGCCCTGAAGGCTGAGCTGAGAACTGGCTGTGACGGGGTGAGGGGCACGACGTGGATTCGGTTGAGATCTTACTCTATGGTCACAGGCACAATGGAGGCCCTGAATCCTTCCCAGAGTCTTGGCTGGTGCAAACAGTTAATGCGCAGCGGCTAACCTCTGGGTTTGAGTCTACCCAGAGGTGCCTGGGTAGAGAGGCCTGGCTGATCGATTTAGGACAACAAATCAGCCTGAGCACCCAGTTCTGCCCTGACACACAGGGGGCTCCGTGAGCAGGAGTAGACTTAACGGCAAATGGTTTTAGAATCCTTCCCTTTTCCTGTTCACAAAGGAAAGGAACAGGAAGAAATGCTATCTTCAGATTCTGGGGACAAAACAGGCCACGGAGGAAATGGTTTCCCAGATGAGCTCCGTTTCCAATGGGCTTTGTTCCAGGCAGCCCTGGAAGCTGTTCGGCTGGGAAAAAACAGCTGCCCTTGTTTGGTTTTCGGCAAAGCCCTGTCTCTTTAAGTTTGCGTTGGGAGTCCTGTGGGGGCAGCCAACTTTTAATCGAACACACATGGGACTCTTGGCCTCGCCCTGTGCTTCGCCAGCAGGCACATGCCCTGTTTTCTTTCCTTTGAGGAGAGAATTTCTGGAGCCCTGGGGAGTGAGAGGGCGGCCACACTCCCCATAGCTCTGGGCCCAGGAGTGGGGCAGCCTCTCTGAGAACCAGATTCATGTCCTGCATGTCTGCAGGCCTACAGAATTTTCTAGGAAAATCACTGTTTGCTAAGGCAGGCCTCTGTGCAGGGAGGGGGTGGGTTTCTGGTGATTTCTGGACATTAATTGATTTCCTATAGGTCCCCGGGCCCCCTAGGCTCGTATGTCTTGGCTGCAGGGGTCTCTGGGCTCCCACCTGAAAGGGGGTGGGGGAGTGAGAATGAGAAGGCACAGAGCTTTCTGCTTGGGGACAAGGACAGCATCTCTTTTGTAAAGAGAACAGAAGAAAATCCGCACCCCCCAAGAAAATTGTAGGGAGTGGACTATTATACAGCAAACAATTAAACATGGGGGGAAGAAAGCCACTCGTGCGTAATAACATTCAGGCTATGCAATTCCAGTGACTCTTCCATTTGCCAACAAATAATATGACCCCCTGGCTCCCTTAATGATTTTAAAATATACTATTTTTTTTCCCTCTTGTCCTCCATCCACAATTGCCAGCTTATTGTTCTGAGTGTTCATAAAAGTCACACCCCAGCATCAGCCACTGGCGCCAATTTATACAGGAATTTAGTTCCAGTCTGTGCTGTGGCTGCTCTGAACTGGGTAATGGGAAAACATGCCTGGAGCTGCAGGGGAGAAACCCACTTGCCATGGAGACCAGGGCCTTAGAGAGTGTGTATGGGGGGTGGCCGAGGAGAGGGGCTGTGGGGGCAGACCAGGGAGGGCTCACTCCAGGGCAGACTGGCCCGAGGGGAGGCATAAGCGCCCTCACAGCTACTCTTCTGCAGAGGAAGACGCAGGGCTCTCGTCATCCGACATCGGGGCAAACTGAAATGAGAAGCAGGAATCCTTTTGTTGGGCATTCTTTCACCAATCTGCGAGGTGCCAGCTGTGTGGAAGTGGCAGGGAGTGGTAAGCAAGAGGTGCAGTCCTGGGCCTCAAGGAGGCGAAGTTCTGGGGGAGATGCCATGAAAAAGTCAACGCATAAAGGCAGTAGAGGATTTTCCTCAGGAAGAAGTGATGGAGTGGGTTAGAGAGGGTGACGTCTGAGCTGACGCCTGAACCCCCGTGCCGAGGGGTTAGCCATGAATGGTCTGAGGGAAGGATGCTCTGTGCAGAGGAAACAGCAAGTGCAAAGGCCCTGAGGTAGACAGGAAGGAGCAGAGGAAACAAGGGGGAAAGAGAGAGAGGAAGTGAAGGCAAGGAGGGGCCGGGCAATTGTGCAGGGCCTGGTGGGATATGGGGAGGACTTGGGCTTTTACCCCCAGTGAGGTGGGAGCCATGGAGGGTTGTAAGCAGAGGAGGACTCAGGACCGTGGCAACTCTGGGGACAGAGTGCAGGGGATAATGGTAGGAGCCGGGGACCAGGGTGGTGGGTGAGCGATGATGGGGGCGTTAGGGTTTGTCATTCAGGAGTCCTTGAGGACAGGACCCCAGGTCAGAGAACAGGAGGGCTGAGAACATCAGCAGTCCCATCACTCCCATGTTACAGGTGAGGCCCCACGGGTCCAGAGCTGATCCCTGGCAGCACCAGGCTGAGGCCAGCTGCCCTAACGCCTTGAAGGGTGAAGTCTGAAAACTTCCGAGCTGCAATACAAACCTAGAGACCAGGGGGAGACAGCCGCCCCATAACCTATCACTGTGGCCAACACCCACCATGCCACTCTTGAATCCAGTCCCAAATATGCCTCAGGAGGGCAGGGTGAAGACTGAGGGACAGTGACCCTGCCTGTCCAAGTTTCTCCAGTCAGATAGACCCTGTGCCTCTGACCCTTCCCAGCTGTGAGCCTTTGAACCTGAGATGTAATAACCCCTCTGAGCCTCAGCTTCCCCACCTGGAAAACAGGAGTAACAACAGGACATATGCAATGAATGGGAGTCCAACCCATCACTCACGGCAGGCGGTCCATCAGACAGGAGGCCCTTACCACACGGTGAGTCACATTACACTCCTGTTGCTTCCTGGAAGAGTGTTTTGCTAACAGGTATGATTTAAAAGCCCCAGATTTCTGTGCTCATTAAGAGGAATGCTGGGTTAGACAAACTTATAGATTAGGCTTCTTTGCTATGAAGACTTCTTGGGGGCCTTCAACACACCAACGTGGTTTCAGTAAAAGCCAAAGTCCTCTCTGCAGCCCCCAAGGTCCTTCATGACCTGTCCCATCACCTCCCCATCCTCCTCAACACCTGCTTTCCTTCCAGCTACACTGGTCTCCCTGGCACTCCTCAACCAGACAGGCACGGTCCAGCCTCAGGGCCTTTGCACAGGCTGCTTCCCTGGTTGGATAGCCACTCAACTCACTCCCTCACTTCCTCAGAAGGTCTGCTCAGCTGTTAGCCCCTCGCTGAGGCCTACACTAGAGCCCCTATCACTTGCTGATGCTTTGTGTTATTTTTAAAATAATTTGTGGAGTTGTTGAAAAGATACATTGCAAAACACACCGATTCAGCCATTTCTACGTGTAAAATTCAGAGATGTTGGTAACATCCTTCAAGTCATGCAACCATTCTCACCCTCCTTTTGAGTCGTTCCTCCCCCACTAACATAAACTTACTCCCGAGCTTCCCACCTCATCTTCCAAGTGGCTGTTTCTATTTTCTGATTTTTTTCTCACTGTTTTCCATTTCACCTCAGCACTTCCCATCACCTGGCTCTTAATCACTGATTTGCTTATAGCTTCACCTGGGCAGACACCTTTCTGTTTTGTTCCCTGTTGTGACTGTCAAGGCCTGGAACGGCCTAACACACAGCTGGTACTCAGTAGATATCTGTCAAATGAGTGAATGTTCATGGCATTGTGAATGGACTGAATTGTGTCCCCCCCAAAAAATTCGTGTTATAAATCCTAACCTCTATGCCTGTGGTTACAATCCCATTTAGGAAAGTGTTCTTTGTTATGTTCATGAGGCAGGATTAGTGTGCTGTGTGTTCTAAATTAATCTCTTTTGAGTCTTTTGAGGTATTAAAGAGATTAAAACAAGCCAGCAAGCAGGCAGAGATGGAGGAAGAGACATGCCAAAGCTACGTGAAGATCACTCAGGAGCAGAAGCTCAGGAGAGACAAGGACCTTCCTCCAGAGCCAACAGAGAGAGAAAGCTTTTCCCTCGAGCCTGCACCTCCCTCCCAAATCGTGAGAGAATAAATTTGTTTGTTTGTTAAAGCCATCCACTTGTGGTATTTTTGTTATAGCAAAAAAAAAAAAACAAACTCACTGCTGTCGAGTTGATTCAGCTCACAGCAACCCCTTCTTGGGTTTCTGAGGCAGTATCACTACAGAAGTAGATTGCCCAATCTTCCTTCCTAGGAGTGACTGGTAGGTTTGAACCGCCAGCCTTCTGGTTAGCAGTCAAATGCCTTAGGCAACAGAAAACTAAGACATTCATATAGAAGGTGAATTTGGATGCAGACAGATCCGGGTTCCGGTATTCCTATGCCAACTAGGCAAGCTCCAGGCCTCATCTCCTCACTGGGGCCCCATGAATGTTCAATGGCAGATGACTGTAAAGTCCTTGGTACGTGCCCACTGGGGTACCATCAGCTTCCCATGAACCTCAGTCCCTGCCCAGATGCCCCCACTCCCTGCCTGGGTCTGACTCACCGAGCACTTGATGTTCATACGGGAGTACAGCATGGACGCAATCTCACTCTGCCCGGCATCCAAGGCCACCATTAAGGCTGTGCTCCCGTCCTGCAAAGCATGTGCTGCTGTGAGGTCGCCCGCACAGTGCTCCCACTCTCCCCAGGTGTGTGTCTGGGCGGTACTCACTCGGTCAGTGAGTGAGATGTTGCAGCTGGGCACTGCTAGCAGCAGCCTGGTGATCTCTTTGTGGCCGTGTTCACAGGCACACATGAGCGCCGTGGAGCCATCGTCGTCCTGCACGTTGACGTCCGCCTTGCAGGCCAGTAGGGCTTCGACCACGTCCACCCGCCCGTGGCTGACTGCCAGCATCAGGGCTGTCTGCCCCGCCTAGGCAAGGGAAGGAACAGGCTCATGGTCCACACAGGCCTCGGGGCATGTCATCCATGCTCCAGAACCTTCCATGGCTCTGATGCTAACATACACCCTCCCTTACTGGCCTCCTGTATCTCAAACATGTACACACCCTTCCAATTGCTGGGCCTTTGCACTTGTTGGTCCCGCTGCCTCCTGCTGGCAGCTCCTTCTAACCCCTCAGGTCGCTACTTAAATGTCTCCTCCTCCAGGAAGCTCTCCTTGACTGTGCCTCCTCCCATCTAAAGCAGGTTCCTAACTCACACATGTAAGTTTTTGAACTAACTTTTAAGCTTGCTTTAAAAAAAAAAAAAAAAGAATCTAGGAGCTAAAATTTGTACATTTTTCTGTATGTCAATTAAACCTCTAAAAATAATAAACCAATAAAAACCAAGCAAGGTTGCTCCCATCACACCCCATCACAATGCCCCATTTCTTTCCTTCATTTCATTTAGGTGGCTGCAAATCCCTCCCTCCTCGCAGTCCCCATCTGGTCCTGGTTGCCTTTCTCTTTGGCCTGGACAACATGGCCCATGCCTAGTCTCACCCGTGGTCTCCAGCTTCCACTCTCTGGCACACTGTCCCCCACAGCAGTGGATAGAGTTTTCAAACCAGGAATCAGGCCATGCATGCCACTTTTCTGCTTAAAATCTCCTTGGTGGCCTCCTGTAGCCCCCAGAATCCAAACCTGGCCCAAGCCCCTGTACTGCCTTGAAATGCTCACGCCTGCTGGGGCTCCCCTGCTAGTTAGTGAACAGCAGGAAGGTGGACTATGCCTGTGTGTGTCTGTCTGAGTCCCCAGCGTCCAGCCTAGTCAACCTCATTGTTGATTAACGCCTGACCAAGAAGGACAAGGGATGTGTTTGTTGGATCAAGAAAAGGTGGGGACTCACGTGTCCTCCCACCCCCATTTCCACAAGCAGTTCCTGAATGAGATGCAGCCTGGAAGGAGCTCTGACTTCTAGGAAAGACACAAATACACAGAGGTATGGTGCCTAAGGCACTTGACTGCTAACCAGAAGGCTGGTGGTTCAAAACCCACCAGCCACTCTTTGGAAGGAAGATTGATTGGGCAATCTATTTCTGTAGTGATACTGCCTCAGAAACCCAAGGAGGGGTCACTATGAGTCAGATCTGACTCAATGGCAGTGAGTTTAGGCGCTCTGGTAGTGTAGTGCCTAAGGCATTTGACTGCTAACCAGAAGGCTGGCAGTTCAAACCCACCGGCCACTCCTCAGAAGGTTGGGCAACCTACTTCCATAGTGATATTGCCTTGGAAATCTAAGGAGGGGTCACTATGAGTCAGGTCTGACTTGACAGTACATAACAACAACAAAGTTCATTAGTGGTTAACGGGTGGGAGGGAAGGGCTGGGCAGTCACTGCTTCTTGTTGTTGTTGTTAGGGGCCGTCGAGTCGGGTCCAACTCATAGCGACCCCAATCATTGCTTAGGGGCCCTGAGTTTCTGTCAACAGTCATAAGTAGCTCGGAAAAGGGCAGTGATGATGGCTGCACAACACAATGAACGCAATGTCACTGAACTGTAGGGTAAAGAGGGTTGAAATTGCAGACGTTTTGTTATGTATATATTTTTACCACAATTGAAAAGAAAGACAAAGGGAGGGGTGCTCTGGAGCTAGAGCACCTGAGTTCAGATTCCCAGGTGCTTGGGCTTGGGGCCCAGCCATAAGACCTAATGAAGGCCCATGAGCCCATACCTGGCTGGCTTTGGCATTGACGTCTCCGAGCCGGAAGAGCTGTAGGATGGTCTCGATGTCATCCTGGGTCTTCAGAGAGGCCAGGGCAGTGAGCATGATGGGGCTGTAGCCGGCACGGTTCTGCTTGTCCACCTGGCAGACACCTGAGTGGGGCGGAGCAAGGTGGGCATGAGCCCTCGGACCCCATCCAAGCTGGCCAGGTCCGCCTCAGGGCTGGGGGAGGCTCCTGGAGCACCAGGCCGTGTCTCCGCTGTTAGACTGGGTACTCTGTGTCATCCCACCACAATGAGCACCATGTTGCCTCCCTCCCTCACTGTGTGGCCTTATATCTCCCCTTTCTCAGACTGAGGACCCCATTCTTCTCCAGGGATCTCCAACTCCACAGACTAGGGGCTCCAACAGGTGGAGGCTGTGCTGCCTCCATCAGACTGGGGGCCCCTTAGGTTGGGTCCCCACATTTAGGACTGACAGTAGGAGCTGTGTCTCCCCCATTAATCTAGAAGATCCATTCAGCCCTCAGACTGGTGCATTTCTCCTTCATCAGACTGACAGGCCATGTCCCCATCAGACTGGGGAAGGGCAAGTTTCTCCTGCCTAACTGAGGACCACATCTCTCTAAGTCTTCTCTCAGACTAGGGTCTAAAGCTGTCACCTCCATTATACCAGACCCTTGGAAAGGCCACATCTTGTCCATAAGACCATGATGCCTGCCTTTTTCACCACACTGGGGCTAAAGGTAGGGACCATGTCACCCTGCCTCAGACTGGGAGGGCGGTATCTCCCCCTTCAGACTGGGAGGGCAGAATCTCTCCCCTCAGACTCAGGGTGGTAGCCAGCCCCCTGCCCCTGCCCCCAGCAGTCCCCTTGTCACCGCACTGGCCCGCCTGGCTCACCACTGTCCAGCAGCTGCCGCACCACAGGAAAGTTGGCATGAGACACGGAGTAGTGCAGCGCAGTATTGCCATTGCTGTCGGCAATGTTGACCACGTAATCCAGCAGCCGCGCTGACATGGCCCGAAACGTGACCAGGTGGCGCCGCACGAGCTCAGGTTGTGCGTCACTGCGGCAGGCCAGGCGCAACCACTCCTGCAGCACCGTGGTGTAGGCCACTTTCTGGACACAAAATCAGGCAGGTGTGGGGAAGAGGCGGGTCAGGGGAGGGCACCACACCCCTGCTGGATAAGCCCTTAAAGGCAAGGGGAGTGTGGACAACCTTGTCCTGAACAAGACCCTTGAAGGGAAAGTGTGGACACCCCATCCTACCACATATGAGCCCCCTGGAGTACAGACAGCCTCAGAAAGAAGTGTGGACACCTCCATCTCAGATTAGATCCTCGAAAGGAAGTTGAGACACCTCAGTCCCAAACATACTCCAATAGAAGCATGGACACCTCCCTCTGGACAAAATCTTTGAAGGTAAGTGTAGCTGTCCCCAGAGGGAAACATGGACAGCTTCCCCCCTCAAGCCCCGGAAGGAACAGGAACCACAGAGATCCAGGCTTGGCCTGCAGGCGTCATCCTCGGCCCCCTCCCCACCTCCCTGGCTCCTCTCCAAGGCCTGTGACTCAGCTGCCACCCAACCCCTAAGTTCCTGGCTTCAATCCCAGAACCCCTACAAAGCAAAGGAAGATACTGAGGATGAGGAGAAGTTGGGGGGCGGGTACCCAGCCCAAGGCCTGACTGTACCAGCTCCCGCTCGGTGAGGGCATTGGGGTTGTCCAGGTACTTTTCCAGGGCCAGGCAGGCAGAGATGAGGTCTGGGCTTAGCTCCATCCTGTCGGCAAACGAGAGAGAAGTTTAGTTTTGGAGCACCACCTCAGCCTCCTCACGTCCACCTGTGGTACTGAGGTGGACCCAACTCTTCCCACCACGGTACCTACAGTCGGCCAGAGGTTCTCCGAATGGTGGAAATCAGTCAAGACCCTTAGCTAACACATTCCCTCAGACCCCCTTCACCAGAGACACACATTTACAATTCACCCCAAGGGGCAGAGGTGGAAAACACACAGAGCCCACAAGAACGTAAACTCACAGGCCGCAGTTTATTCCAAGTGGTCAGTGACAGGTGGAAAATAATTTTCCAAAGGGCAGAGTTTTCATCAGGGGAAAAAAGAGACAAAAGCAGGATGGGAAGGTAGGATATGTGGGTGGTTTAGGATAAACTTTGTCACCTAAATCCTAATCACAGCAGCTTGCACTGCCCCCATCAGGCCCTTTATCAAAACTTCTAGACTTTCAGATACCAAGGAGAAATTCTGACTAAGGTGTATATGACTGATGGGAAGTTCGCTCAGGGCGCTTCAATAGTGGGGATTTGAGGTAGAGGTCACCAACACCTGGCCTACCCTAAATCCCTCCCGTCCAGAAAACTGACCGGCTCTCCTCTTCCACGTTTGACCCCGATGCTCCCTCAGCCGTGAGCATGTCCTGGGACTCCTGAGACAGCTGGCCCTCTTGATGACTGGTCTTGGCCACTGCTGTCCCTGCAGGCCTGAGCTGGGGGGCTTCGGCCACACTGGAAACCCTCTTCTCGGGCTCTGGGGCCTCACTCTTTGTGCTCTCGTTGTCTGAAAAGTTCTCTGCTGTGCTGGAGTCCTCGGATGAGGATTCGTACCTGGAGAGGAAGGATGGACGGGCGGGGAGAGATGCAGCGGACGGGATGGGACATGGAGAGGAAGAGCAGGGGGCACTGGCAACCAGCCCGCTCTGGGCCTCAGTTTCCTCGTCGGTTAAGTGGAGATGACAGCAGTATTGACCTCATAGGGCTGCCGGGAGATGGCTTACAGTACACCTAGCTCACGGCAAGTGCCCAATAAACATGAGCTGTGATGTAGACCCTGCTTGGAGGGAGCTGGAGAGGGATGTGGCTTCTCACCTTCATGGTCTACACTTTGGTGCCCCTTGTCCCTTGTCCCTTATACAGTTGTTACTGATTCAGACCCTTGTCCCATTGTGAACAGGACCCTCTTAGGCTTCTTGCTGCCTCTGGACAAAGACTAAACGCCTCTCCTTCATCGAGCGGCCCTGGACTCCCTGGCCCCACGAGTGCCTCCTCTGTGGCCCCACAATGCCTGTCATCCCCCCATCACTGCTCCATCACTCTAGGTCGGAGCTGCCTGTCAATGTTGCCCCCCTCCCACTGCACCAGGGGTTCTGTCAGGAACAGGTGTCAAGGCTTGTGTCTCTCAGGGGTGGGACAGTGCAGAGGCTACACTGCAGGCTCGGCAGCCAGGCCCCTGGGGCAGATTCCTGGGTCCCTGTGGGACCTCATCGCAGGTACTCAGCCTCTTCACACCTTAGCTTCCTCATCCAGCTATTAAGATGTGAGCAAATTAATTAACTAAAGGGAGGGGCTCAGGGCGGGCACTCAGTCCATATGTCATGGGGAGTGCACCAAGGAGCAAATAGGAGGGTTGAACAAAAGGGTGGGGAGTATGAGGGGGGGGGTCCTCTCACCCGCCATTGACCCCCACAAACTGGAGGCTCTTCTGGTGGGCTGCTGGGTCCGTGGGCTCCTCTTTCCCCTTCATGATGGACTGCACGCCTGCCTGGGGCCCGCCTGGGGGAAAAGGGAGCATCGGGAGGGTCCTTCTCAGTGACCCTGTGCCCAGGCCTCCTGGTGCCCTAGCCTCCTCTGTGGCCACCATCACTTACCTGCACCCTCAGCCTCCTCTGACTCACATGGGGCTGCTCGCCTGGCAGGCACCCCATCTACGTTCTTCTCAGGCTGTGCCAGGGAGGCTGCTGTGGACACTGGGGGTGACAGGGATGATTCTGTACAATCCCGTTTGAGACCTGGAGGGGTAGGACAAGAGGCGTCTGCTGTGGGTAACAACAGTATAAACAGCTAACTTTGTGGAACACACTCTGGGGCCAGAACTTTCTGCGTTACCTCATTAAGACTTCCTGGCCTGCAATGGGGAAAGGTTATTACAAAGGAGGAAACTGAGGCACAAAGGTTGCCTGAGGTCACCCAGTAAACAAACAGCAGAACACGATTCCAACCCTGGTCTGTGACCTGCCCCACAGCTGGGGCAGAAGACCCTCTGACCCCACAATCCTGGCTTGTACTCCACCTTCGACACTGGACCTCATATTCTCTGGATACAAGGTTTGATCACAACCAAGCACAGTGCTTCCCACACAGACACGAAGCTAAGTTTCCCCGCATAGGAGCTGTGTGACCTTGGCAAGTCACTTAACCTCTCTGGGCCTCAGGCAGATGACAGTTCTTAAGGCTTAGAACAACCTCTGCATCCCAAGCACTCAAAAAGCATTTGCTGATTCCAGAAAACTGTAAACCAAATTTTGCTATATTATTGTTACTATAATTTCTTTTGTTCACAGAAGCAGGGTTATGCTGTGGCTATCACTTTGAGGGCAGCCTCATTTTCTTTATTTAACATCAAGTAGGTACAGGTATGGCATAGTACCTAAGGCACTTGACTGATACCAGAAGGCTGACAGTTCAAACCCACCAGCCACTCCTCAGAAGGAAGATTGGGTAATCCGTAGTGATACTGCCTCAGAAACCCAACAAGGGGTCGCTATGAGTTGGATCTGACTCGACGGCAATGAGTTGGGCTTGGGTTGGGCAAAAGATGTAATAGGATTATTAAAAAATTAAAATTAAAACTCCACCCAGTTGGTCTGAGGATAAACAGCATCCTGGGCACACAGCCCCAAGAGTGCTCACTGAAGGACCTCCCCTTCCTGCCACTGGCCACAGACTCTGAAGGCCAATTAATTCTAATTCTCCCTAACAGTTAACATACTTTTTGACATACACAGGAACTACTTCCTCAACTTCAACAAGGAGGAGGGGAGTCAAGGACGCCACAGAAAAAATGGGGAGACAGGGCGGGTCCATGGTGGACATTTAAGCCATCGACACTCTGAACAGCCCATGCCGATTCCGGGCTGGGGCTCTAACTCACAGGGAGGGCTGGGGAGCTGCTGGCTTTTTAACTTTGGCAATAAATTCACATTTAACAAGCACACACACTCCCTGAGTGGCCAAATGAAATGGGTCAGGAGGCAGACGGGCAAGTTCACTGTCTCGATCTGTGCTCAAACTCAGGGGCTTCTGATTGAAATTCCTGGGAGGATCAAAAAAGGAGGCCGCCTCAGGCCCATCCTGCCCATGGACGAAGTAGGCCCTGCTTTTACTGGCTGGCACTTTTGCAGCATAGGCGGTCAAGGTTAGACAGACATTGAAACTCCAAAATAACGACAACAAACAATAATCAAATGAACAAGCAGTATATCATTATTCCACAAGGGAATATGGCAAAGTGATACCAAAATGTCTATGGAAGAATCAATGTCCATGACGAGCTAAGACAATTTTCCAAAGAGGAACAGAGACAGAAACCCGGCCTACGTGAGAGTAAAACATATTCCAAAACCACAGTTATCAAACAGTGGAATATTGTCACAGAAACAAATAGATGAAGGGAGCACAGGAGAGGACCCAACACAGGTCCCATGTGTGGAGAAGGATGAGAAAGGATGAATTCTGTGGTGAACGGTGTTGGAAAAAGTGGTGTAATCCACCTGAGAAAAATCAAGCTAGATCCCCACCACCTTATACCTTACTGGGGAAAAAAAAAAAAATCTGAAGGATTAATATGAAGGTATAACCAACCCAATAGAAGAAATTGTAACAGAATATTAGAGTCCTCAGGAAAGTAAAAGATTCCTTTCAAAAATTCCTCCAAGCACAATATGATGCCTTTGAGTGTATCCAAAATAAAGATTCCTATTTTATTTTGTTAAAAAAATCTCACAAAGTTAATAGACAGGAGAAAACAGACTAGGAGAAGATATTCACCATATCAAAAATGGGCAAGGGGTCAATAAACTTTTTTGGCAAAAGGCCAGGTAGTAAATATTTTAGACTTTGTGGGCGATACAGTCTGTTGGAAATACTCACCCCAGCTGCTGTAGCTCAAAAGCACCCTCAGATAATACAGAAAGGACTGGGTGTGGCTATGTTCCAAAAAATGTGAATTTCATAGAATTTTGCTCATGCTAAAAAACTATTCTTCCTTTCATAGTTTTCAACCATTTAAAAACGTAAAAACCATTCCTAGTTTGTGAGCCACACAAAAACAGGCAGAGTGGGCTGGACTTGGCCCAAGAACCACTGTTTGCCAACTCCTAATCTGGAATATGCCTGTAACTTCTGGAATCTACCCAAAGAAAAATGAATAAGTGATTCACAGAGGAATCTTACTAAGCATATAAGGAAATGTCCAAGTTCACCAGAAACAAGAGAAAAGCAAATTTAAACAATAAGGAGATACCACTTTCTATCACCGCCAGGTAGTTAAAAAATTAGAAAGTTGGATAAAAGCATGTGATGGTGGGGATGGTGGGAAATAGGCAACTCAGACCAAAGCATGGCTCTTGTAGAGTGTAGAACCTTTCTGGAAAAGATTTGGAATGAAGTTAAGTCTGTGTGTCCTGTGTGATCCAACAGCCCCACTTCTGGGAATGTAATCCTGAGGTCAAGCGGGGACGTGTGAAGATGCCCTCAGCACTGTTAATAGTGACAGGATTGGAAGTCATCCCGGTGCCACCACAGGGGATTGGAAAAGAAAAGTGCCTAAGGTGGAAACCTACATAGCCAATAAATGTGACAAACCAGATTTACAAAGAGCACGTTGAGAAGAAAAAAATGAGGAACAGAACAAGGTTTTTTTTTAAGCACAATACCATTTAAGGAAATTAAACACACACAGCATATTTTTAAGGACACTCAAGTATCTAAATAAGCTTCTGGAAGGTGGGTTGGAAGGAAACCTTACATGGGAGCTGGTAGGATTATGATGGGGATGTGAACGGCACATGGCAGAGCTTGGCAAACTATGGCCATGGGCATGGCTTTTACGTTTTTAAATGGCTGGGGGGGAATGAAAGGATGAATATCATTTGTGACATATGAAAATGATATGAAATTGAAATTCAGTGTCCAAAATAAAGTTTTATTGGCACAGGGCCACAGGCATTCATTTGCATACCGTCTATGGCTGCTCTCACGCTACAGTCCGCAGAGCTGAGTTTGCTGCAGAAACCATACTGCCCAGAAAGTCAAAAATATTTACCGACTCCCAGTGTAGAGACAGACACTCTGGTGGCATAGCGCCTAAGGTATTTGACTGCTAATCAGAAGGCTGACGGTTCAAACCCACCAGCCACTCCTCAGAAGGAAGATTGGGCAATCTGTTTCCATAGAGATACAACCTCAGAAACCCAAGGAGTGATTGCTATGAGTTGGATCCAACTTGACGGTAGTGAGTTTTTGTAAGTGTAGAGATCAGACGAAGGTTAGGACGGTTGCTAATCCAACTCAATTTGGGTTTCTCAAGTTTGAAAGAAATTTTTAAAAATGTTTATAATCATTCACCCACACGGCATGGTAAGCATGTGAAGTTACAGGAACCAAACAAAAAAAACTCCAAACTCACTGCTGTCAAGTCAATTTGACTCATAGCGACCCCTCCTTGGGATTCTGAGGCTGTATCTCTATACAGGTAGACTGCCCAATCTTCCTTCTGAGGAGTGGCTGGTAGGTTTGAACTACCAGCCTTCTGGTTACCACAGGGGTGTAAAGCAATTTGGTAACAAAAAGGCCTCAAAAATGTCCTTTCAGAAACCTGCCCTGAGAAAACAGATCAAAAGACTCAAGGGGTTCTGTTGGAAGGATGTCTGCGCAGCATCACTTACAGTGGAGAAAAGTCAGACTCAGCAAGATGGCCCAGCACAGGCTAGTCACGTACCTCCCCCACCGCCTCTCATCAGAAAATGACTCAGCTGTCAACAAATAAATCGTGTTTCCAAATTATTTTTACCAAGGTAGGAAAATGCTCCCGGGATGTTAAATGGGGATCAAAGACGGAGTTTTGAAATTCTGGCTTGGAGGCCCTTGAACAAATTCCTTAACCTCCCTGTGCCCTCAGCTTCCTCATCTGTAAAATGGGAATAAAACGCACCACTCCAGGTATGGGGTTGCTAGAGGTTTAAATAGGAGCTCTGGTAGCATAGTGCCTAAGGCACTTGATTGCTCACCAGAAGGCTGGCGGTTCAAACCCACCAGCCACTTCTCGGAAGGAAGGTTGGGCAATTCTACTTCTGTAGTGATACTGCCTTGGAAACCCAAGGAGAGGTCGCTATGAGTCCGGGCCGACTCGATGGCAAACAACAACAACAACAACACCAGAGGTTTAAATGAACTGAAATAAGGAAAAGTCATCAAATAACATCTGACATTTAGGAAGGGCTGCTAAAGTACTTTTAAAAATAAAATACAAGAGAAATAGCAGCTTCTGTCAACTTGGGGATGGCAGATTTGAAAAATATCTGCTATATTATGCACTGAATATTGAGAAAGCAAGCAGCAAAAGCATCGACAAGAGCTACATCTGGGGGTAGTGGGTTTGCGGGGGGGTTTGTTTTTTTGTCCTAGATTTTTCTGTACTTTCCAAACTTTCCACCAAGAACATGAACAGCTTTTAAAGGAACAGGTTTTAAATAAGAGCAGAGGAAATTTCAAAGCCTTGGAAAGATGCCAGCAGCATCTGTACTCAGCTGCCCCGTTTTCCCCTTGACCCTTCCTGTGGCACTTGGGGCACGGACAGGCTTTGTGGGGGCTCCAAGCCTCTGCTGGTCCCACCTACCTTCACCAGCCAGAGAGGAGAGCCTGCCTCCCACCCTGCCTGGCCTTCTCGGCAGTGAGTAAACTCCTGCTCTGCTGAACACAGAGCCTCACTACTGAAGGCAGAGTTGAGTTTGCTTCAGAGACTCCTTGAAGCCGGAATATTTACCAACCCCCAGGACACAGGGTGGAAAGAAGGGAAAAAATAACAAAGTAAAACAAGAGGAGGTCCTAGGTGGTTAGCTTGGCTGCTAACCAAAAGGTTGGAGGTTGCAGCCCGCTCAGCCTCCAAAGAAAGGCCTGGCAATTACTTTGGAAAAATCAGCAACTGAAAACCGTACAGATCACAGTTCTACTATGACACACATAGGGTCCCCAGAAGTCAGAACTGACGCAACAGCAACTGGTTTTCACTAGATGGCAATGAGGCTTCACCCCCACCTTGCCTCCTCCTCCAGGGAGTCCTCCCTGACTTACCCATTGAGCACATGGACTTACAGACTTACACCGAGTACTTGTTGAATCCTAGGCTCCCCTCTTCCCCACCTCACTAACCCCAGCTTCACACATTCCACTTGTGCAACACCTTGAGAGCCCAAGGTCTTTCTCAGCTCAAGCCTTTGGCCTCGCTGGGCCCTGGATTGGGAACTGTCCTCCATTCCATTCTGTGTCGGCTGATGCCTGGCTTCTTCTCTCCTTTCACATTTTGGTTCAAAGATGCTCTTGGGAAAGGCTATTAGAAGCAAAGAATCACCCTTTGGAAATCTGCTACCGCTACTAGTATGTTGAACACATGACACAAATTAATGCACTTAAGCCTCACATCAATCTTCTAAATACGGGCTATCAAGACCTCTGTTTTGCTGATGAGGAAATTAAGGCACAAAAAACTTTCTCAAGGGCACAGACTCAAGGAGCAGGGAAACCAGGATCTGAACTCACGCCACCACCCCATCCAACTGCCACCCATCCCATGCCCTTGTTGTGTTTGCTTCAAACACTTATTCTTTGCAGTTGTGTTTCTTCACTTTTTCAACATAGTCTGTCTTTATTGCAGAGGCTTTCATTAGTCTGGTTCAATGCCGGGTCCCCAGAGGCTAGAGGAGTCTGGGACATATTCACCACTTGAAAAATAGTGGTTGAATAAGAAGATATTGAATGACCACAATCCAATTCCAGCCCAAGGCAGAGACTGGGCTGGCTACAGCTAGTTCAGTGAGACAAAAAGAACAACTTTCAGGAGTGCAGCCTGCACGGGGAGTGGACACTGTTAAGTCTGAGTGTCCTACAGGCAGGAGGCCCCATGGGTGCCCTGGGAGGCTGGTCTGGAATGAAAGTTGCCTCTCAAGTGTCCCATGGCTGGGCTGGGTGGAGCCCCTGGCTGGGGACCAGAGCCACAGGGCCGGGTGTTTGGGACGGACACAGAACAGAGGGTGATGTCTGGAGCCAGCCAGGAACAACATGGGGAGGCAAAAAACACAGCTGGTCCCCACCCTCCAGTCCCTCTGCAGGGCACTGGTCACCAGTCATCAGAGGCTGGGACAAGGACCTGGGCCTCACCGTTGAGCCTTGTTGCAGGTTCAGGCTGATGTGGGTTCAGATCTTGCCTTGGCTGTGTGACACAGGGCAAGTGAACCTCCTCTCTGAGCCTCAGTTCCCTTGTTCACATGGCTGGCCTGAAAATTAGCAGCAGCCACAACAAGCACTGACTGTGCACTTACTGTGTGTGTTAATTCACAACGGTCCCAGAGACGGAATTTATTATATGCCACTTCACAAATGGGAAGCTGAGGCCCAAAGAGGTGAAGCCACTTGCCCACGGTCACACAGCAGGAAGCTGGATTTGAACCCAGGTCACCTAGCTGCAGGGCCCATGTTTTTAGCTCCTCTGTGGACAAAGCACTTAGCACAACACCTGGCACCCGGCTAGCGCTGGATAAATAACAGCTGTCATTATTACAAATTATTCTGGCACGTCTCTCCAGGGGTGGTGTCAGGGCAGCTGACATTCTGCACACCCGGAATCCCCTTTCCTGGCATGAAGACTCAGCACTTCCTCCAGGAAGCCCCCCTTCCTCCCTTACAGGCCACAGGGTTTGGGTGGGGCTATTCCACCCTCAGGCTCTGGGGCTGAGCAGTGGCTGGCTCAGCAAAAAGCACATGATCCAAGCCAGCCAATGAGAGGCATCCTTGGGATTTTTATCGGCACTATCTGAACCCAAGGGGACTTCCTCCCTACTGAGCTAGATGCCAGCCTAAGGAGAAAGCCTGCCCGAGAGATGAGCCTCCAGGGCAGACAGAAGAAGAAGACAGGTGAGATTCTTGATGACATCCTAGCACCTGAATCCAACTATGCTTAAAGCTGTCTCTAAGTTACATGAACCAACACAAAATAAAAAACCAAACTCACTGCCATCGAGTCAATTCCAACTCACAGCGACCCCCATTGGGTTTCCGAGGCAGTAAATCTTTACAGAAGTAGATTGCCCAGTCTTCCTTCTGCGGAGAGGCTGGTAGGTTTGAACCTCCAACCTTCTGGTTAGCAGTCAACTGCCTTAGGCACTATGCCACCAGAGCTCCTTTGAACCAACACATACCCTTTTAATTGCTTAAACTGTGCTGGCATTGGTTCCTGCCACTTACTGAAAAAATAGAGAAGGCCAGAAAACAACAGTTTTGGGGACTGCGCAACATGCCAGACACAAGGACCAGTACTTAACAGAAACCAAATTTCTCTGCATGGCCCCTGAAGCCCAGAAGCCAACAGCACAATTCTTCTTTGTGAATGGAAAGATAGGCTCCAAGAGCTGCGGTGAGTGGTCTGTCTGGTGGGAAGCCAGAACACGGCTGTGCCCTGGTGTTCGGAGGGACCCAGCTGGTCTCCCCTACCCGCCATCACTCACCTGCCGCCCCATCACAGCCACGCTCTGTGATACTGATCTTCTTTACCATGTGAACGTTACCAGTGGGCACAGCAGGCGCTGGGAACGCTGTCTCCACCACCTCGTGGCTGCGGAACACAGAGGGGCTCTCGGCCCTGCCAGATGTAGCCAGGGCCCGCAGCCCTGCCCCGTAGGGCTCCAGATTGTGGGCCCGCTGTGCAGGGGCTCCAGCGGCTGTGCTGGCCGCCACCTCCACCTCCCGGGGCCCCTCCACCACCCGGACAGTGTCTGCACGGACCGGGCTGTCCGACACCAACGGTGGCCGGGCCTGAGCTGCCTGCAGCTCCTGTAGCGCTTTTTTGAGCTGTGTCTCCAACACAGCAACTTTGGCAGCAAGGGCTGCCTCCCCGTCAGGCATGCCCAAGTCCCGCTCGCGGACCCAGGTGCCCACACTTCGGGTTTCGTGTGCCGCCGGGTCCTCGGGGGGCTCAGGGAGGTCCAGGCAGAGCTCGCCACGGCCCCGGGCCCCTGTGGGGTGGCCCAGAAATTTCTGGCTCTTGAGCTGGACTGTGAGCTGTCGCTTCTCCTCCTGCAGCACAGAGAGCTTCACCTGGAGCACGGGGATCAGCTTCACCTGCTCCTCCAGCTGCCGCAGCTTCCGCAGAGCACCCGCCATCTGCTCCCGCACGTGAGCCAGGTGTCCTGCACTGGGCGGCACCGGCGTGGACAGTCCTGACCCCCGTGGCGTTGGGGGCGGCAGCCCCACTCCCACCAAGGAGCTTGTTGAGCCGGCTGCACTGGGTGTCAGGGAGCCCAGGCTGGGGGGCGCAGCGGCCTGGTCCTCGAGGCGGCGGCGGGCATCCAGCAGGGTGCGCTCCACACGTGGATTGACACCTGCTCGGCTGTCCAGGGCGCCATACTGTGGATAGAAGCCACGGCCGCAGTAGGAGTAGGCCGAGTGGCGGCTGTCCCCGCTGGCATTGGAGCAGAGTGACTCAGTGGATGTCCACCAAGATCCGGGACCGCGGGGCAGAGAGCCAAGGCGGGGGCGACGCTGCACGGCCACCCGCCGCAGGGTGTGGCCCTTCTCAATGTCATCCACATACTTGAGGAAGTCCAGGTCGAGGCGGTAGCCATAGGGTGTCTCCACAGAGTAGGGTGGGTCAGTGTCTTTGGCAGGGAAGGCAGGCGGGGAGGCTGGACCAGGGGTCCCTGGGGTGGAAAGAAATGCCTGCTGAATGCTTGCTTCTGTCTTCCTTCTACAGCAAAGACTTAAGCCCACCAGGCTCTCAACCTGTGAACTACCTGTGGCTTCCCAAGCCCAGACCCCCAGGGTAGGACCATGTCTCCCCTTCATTCTCTCAGGGCAGAGCTGTGTCTGCCCTTAAAACCCCTGGGCAGTCTTGTCTTCCTCCCACAGACCCCTAGAGTAGGGCCCCACCTCCCCTTCACACTCCCAAGGCATCCCCTCCATCCCCTCCAGACTCCTGACCTGGGAAGGGGGCCGGTACATGCAGGACCTGGGCCATCCTCTTTTCAGCAGATGTTCCTTGGGAGTCACTTAGAGGACTGTGAGTCAGACTGCCTGCAGCACCAGCTGAAGCTCACCTGAGGCAGGGGGAAATGACAGAGTGGGGTATCAGGAAGAGACTGCAGGAGGAAGAGAGGTGAGCTGCCCCCCAGTCAGCCCCCTGTACCCTTCCTCCTGGGATAAGAGCCTCCTATCCAGGCCTGGGACCCTCTCACAGATGTATGTGTGTACACACACACACACACACACACACACACACACGCCTGCCTGGCCTCAGTAAGGGGTAGGGAGCCTCGGTTTGGAACAAAGAAATCAAACCTCGCCCGCCTGCACATCTGTCCAGCCCCTGGACAGGCTCCAGCTGTCCCACAGCCCCGCCTCTATGAGCCTCCTGAGCTGGGGGACCTAAGCTTGCTGGGCCCCACCCTTCCTGCACCCCCTCCCCCAGACCCTCAGCCCAGTCCTGGGCTGGCCATGGGATAGACGGGGGCTGAGGTCGGCAGGGGAGTGGGATGCTAATGGGGAACAGCCCTCCTGCAAGAATCTGAGGAGACAGAAACAAAAAGAGATACAGCACCAGTAGGGGACCCCAAGAGACCCCATGCAGAGCCAGATCAGGCCAGACCTGGGGGTGTCAGTAGGGAAAGTGGGGAGAGGCAGCAAAGAGGGAAGCCTTTCCCCTTTATGGAAACAATTTTCTCTAAAAATAAACAGTTTCGCTGCCGGGCTACAGGAGAACTTCCTGCCCCCCCAGGACACGTCCGGGCTTGGGGGCACAGTGGGGGTGCAGCAGGAATAGAGGCTGGGCGGCCCAGGAAGTCATGGGAATAGGGGAGGAAGTAAGAGGGGGTGCCCGAAGGCTGCAGAAGGGAGGAACAATCAGAGCTTCTCACTAACCCAACCTAGGCCCTGGAGGCCAGCCAAGGCTCTCTGATCCCCAACACTCTCTGCCTGAATACAGCCAGTCCCTTCCGCTGCCTGACCTCCAGCCGCCCTGCTGCGGAGGCCCAGCCCATCCTGCCTCCAGAGGGGGTCCCTTCAGGCTCATGGGAGCTAGGGCTGCTGGTACCTGGGAGGATGGGCCAGGCAGGACACCTGTCGGGCATGAAGGCAGGCTGGGACTCCAGGGGTGGCTGGCCGGCGTTCACACTTGCTGCATCTCTTGCTTAGTGCCTCTCCACATCTTTCCACGTCTCTGTCTCTCTGCTTCTCTCCACGTCTCTGTCTCTCTGTGTCTCTACGTCTCTCTGTCTCTCCACGTTTTCGTCCTCACTTCTCTGTCTTTCAACGCCTGGAATGCATGGTCAATCTGATTGCAGGAAATTTGGTTTCCCATCTGCCCAGAGGTTCTCACTCCCCCTGCCCCACCCAACCCCACCCTAATCAAACTCCTTTTTGAAAAAATAAGCAATAGGAAGGTGATCAAAAATGTTCTCTGCTGACCTAAGAAAGAGGCAGGATAGAAGAACCTAGGGGACTACTGAGTAGGGGTGGGGTGAAAAATGTTAATAACTAACAAACAGGTCATTCATTTTGTCATCATCAACCCCACAGCATGGAGGCCCTGCCCCCTGCGTGGTGGAAACAGTTAAGCAGTCCACTACTAGCAGAAATGTTGACAGCTGGTTCGAACCCACCCAGAGGTGCCTTGGAAGAAAGGCCTGGTGATCTGCTTCCTGCAGGTCACGACCTTGAAAACCCTAGGAGCAGCTTTATTCTACACAGTCAGAAATCCAATCAACGACAACTAACACTACTACCACGAAGAACCACCTCACAAAATGGGCTCTGTTACCCCCATTTTACAGATATGGAATCTGGGGTACAGAGAGGTGAAGCAACTTGCCCACAGATCACTTAGGGGCCCCTAGGCCTGGACTTGAACATAAACCTACCTGATCCTTCCCCACTGCCTGAAGACACCCCCTAAACTCCACTCCCTTCCCCGCCACTACTAGACAAGGAGTCTGAGGTCTAGACGTCTCCAGTTATCAGAGGCTCCCTCCCTTGCAGCCCAGTGACTCAGGGTCCAGAGGAATAGAAATCGGCTGTGGGGTGTGTGCATGTGGGGGTCTCTGTGGTGGAACCTCCTCTTCTGCTATGGGACCCCTGAGGAGTGTTGTGGGAGATGGAGAGACTGGGAGCCAGGAGACTTCCAAGAGGCTAGGTGGGAACCTCAGGGAAGGGGCGGGCTGCAGAATGTCCCTAAGGGCACCCCACCCCCCAACAGGCCTAAACGCTGCTTCTGGGGTCTTCCTGCCCCATCCCCCGACCCTGAGACTGGGGCGAGGAGGACCCCGCCCCGTGCAGGGAGGGGCGGGGCCTGTGGGGTCCCCTGCTAATGGCAAACAGCTGCAGCTCCCCACGCCGGCCCAGCAGCCAGCCCCGGCCCAACCCGGCCGGACGCCCGGACGCCTTCCCGCCGCCGGGGGCCTGGCTGCGCTGTCCGCGGAGGAGGCAGAGGGGCCACAGGGCAGGGGACCGAGGCAAACGGAAGGGAACAGACTGGGTAGAGAGGGCAGGAGAAGCAGCGATGGAGAGAGGGGCAGGGCTGGCGGGACAGATGGAGGGGGTCGGGGCAAGAGCGAGGCAGGCATCGCGTCAGAGATGGGGAGGGGACAGACACGCGGGGATCGGGACACTCAGGTCCCGAAAGTTGGCGCACAGATGGTGGAGTTGGAGGCGGCGGGTCGGCGAGACCAGGGAGGTCGTGCCCCGGGGTTGGGGGTGGGGAACCACACTCGAATCCCGACCCAGACTCGAACCCCGACCCAGACCCGGGTCCTACTCGCCTCGCGCGCTCCGGCCGCCGCTGTCCCTGCGTCCCGCCGCCCTGCGTCCTCCGCGCGCCGCCGCCCGGCTGTCCGTCCCTCGGCGAGAGCCCCGCCCCGCCCCCTCCGGCCGGCCCCGCCCCCGGCCGCCGGCGCGCTCGCGGCGTGGGACAGGGGGCGCTCACCTAGACGGCAGGTGTGAGTGTGCGTGGTGGGGGGGGTCTGGCTTCGCCCCCCCCTCCCCCCGGTCCCGGGGTCAGGCTCGTCCCACCCCTGCTTCCCCCGCCCGCTTGCAGCTGGGCCGCCGCGGAGGGCGCCCGCTCCGCGGGGGGCGGGGCTGGCCGTGGCCCAAATCGGGGCGGGCGGCAATGCGGCGGCGGGAGGTCACCCACCCCTCCCCCAGCCAGCCAAGTTGGAAGCGGCCCACTGCGGGCCTGGTACATGGTGGCGTGACCGCCGCCAGGGCGGGAGGGGGTGGCTCAGTGTGGGGCTGCACAGGCAATGGCTAAGGCCTCAACTCCTAAACCAGCCGACCTGGGCCCCAATCCCAGCCCCACCAAACAGGTACTGCTCAGTGCCTCAGTTTCCTAATCTGTAAAATGGGATAATACCACTGTCTGATAAGGAGCCCTGGTGGTGCAGGGGTTAAGTGCTGGGTTGCTAACAGAAAGGGAGAGTTTTAACCCACCAGCCACTCTGCAGAAAAAAGATGGAGCAGTCAGCGTCTCTAAAGCTTAACAGCCTTGGAAACCCTAGGGAACAGTTCTATTCTGTGGTAGAGTCCCAATCGACTGCACAGGAATGGGTTTGGTTTCTTGGTGTACCTGATAGGGCTACTGAGAAGATTTGGCAGGACCCTAGTGGGGGTCCTCTGGCAATGGACTCAGGATGTGGGGGCCAGTCAGACAGGGTCCAACCTGCTCCTGCAAAAATCCTCCTTACAATTCTAGGAAACATTTAGTTCAGGCCCAGGGTGGTAAAAATGGTTTACTCTTTCCAAAAGGTTGGTGGTTTGAATCTTCCTAGCAGATGGACTCAACAAGGGTTATATAACGTCACTGTTATTTTCAGTAAGCAGGCATGTGACATTGTCAGTGTGTTACCTCTAATGTCAGCTCTACAGGCACAGGAATTTTTGTTGTGTTGTTACTGCTGTGTCCCCAGCACCTTAGGTTCTCAGTCAGCCATCAAGGCAGGGTGTGTGGACGTGGGCAGTGCACTGCACACATGTGGCCCTAGCCCCCAGTGACCACACTGCATGAGTTGCTTATAAAAACCATTTTAAATTAAAAAAGGTGGGAAGCATCAGTGCACACAGTTGGAGACAGACAGACAAGAGGGCCCAGCCCCGGCTACTCTGTGCCACCCCCAGGTGGAGTGGACAGTGGGGAGACGCTCTGAAGGCACAGATAGCTGAGGCCAGTGTGCTGGTTCCTTTGGGTGTGGCTTCAGGCCTTGTGGGCTCAGAGGTCTGCTTTACGGAAACTCGTTCGGTTCAAGGAGTTCCTGGGGACAAAAAGGGCAGGTCCGCATGGCCACAGGCCCCCCAAGATGCCATTTCTCCCTCTTCAAAGGATCCTTCCCCTGTTCCTTTCACATCCATCCTGATCTAGAGTCTCTCTTGGAATACACCAGCCCCATTTCAAAGATAAGGAAACTGAGACCAGGAAGTGACCAGTTGGGATTTGGAGCTCTGGTAGCATAGTGCCTAAGGCACTTGACTGCTCACCAGAAGGCTGGCGGTTCAAACCCACCAGCCACTCCTCGGAAGGAAGGTTGGGCAATCTACTTCCGTAGTGATACTGCCTCGGAAACCCAAGGAGGGGTCGCTATGAGTCGGGGCCGACTCGATGGCAAACAACAACAACAACAACAACATTCATACACATGAGCATACTTACATTCCTGTGCATAGATTCAAGTGTGTGTGTCTACACTGAATGTCTGAGAGCCCCCACCCTGGGTCTGTCTGTCCTGTCTCCTCTTGCCCTCCCTAGGATGGGCCAGAGTCGGGCACCTGAGGCCAGGCGCTGGCGCCAGCAGCTGGGGCAGTCGCTGGGTGAGCAGGGGCTGCAGCGCCTCCCGCAGGCGGCAGTAGTTGCGCTCTAGCTCGCGGTGGTACTCCTTTTGGTCTGGCCCGATCAAGGCCTTGTTCTTCCGCAGCGCATCCTCACACCTGCAGGCCGGGAGAGAAAGCAGGACTGGAGGGGGCGTCTGGAGTGTGGGGCAGGCATGCCAAGCAGCTATTGCTGGCAGTGGGGAGAGGGTGTCGTGTAGGTTGGGGAGCATCATGAGAATCAGGCAGAAGCGCCATAGTGGGGAATCAGGCAGCCAGGGAGGCTGTTCATTGAAAAGCCATGGTGGGTTGAGACCAAAAGAACTAGATGGTGCCTGGCTACCTCTGTCAACCCACTTGGAGGGGGATCATTGCAGGAGATCCTGGATAGAGTGGGAGAACAATGTGGAACAAAACTTAAAATCATAAAAAAGAGTAGGTTTGCGGGTCTGATAGAGCCTAGTGAGACCCCTGAGACTGTGGCTCCAAGTTACCCTTCAGGTCTGGCACTGAACTCACTCAGGTAGCATTCAGCCAAACAATAGACATGCATATGGGGTGAACATTGACATCAGATAGATACACTACTCGAAGCAGTCAGTCATGGGAGAGCAGAAGGGCAGTGTTTGCACAGGGAGAAAGCTGAGGGGCAGGGTAGGAGTGCATGGGAGGGAAGGACACAGGGACCAGGTAACTATGGGGAGGAAGTGGGAAGAGACCTATTACATCGTGGGGAATTGCAGTCAATGTCATGAAACAAAACGTGTATGAACTGCTGTATGGAAAATGAATTTGTAAACTTTCACCCAAATCCCAATCAAGATTAAAAAAAGAAAGAAAGAAAGAAAGGCCATGGTGGGGATCAGGCAGGCAGAAAGGTGTGTAATGGGGGGTGTCGGGGCCAAGGAGGGGGTGTTGCAGCTGGGAGGAGTTGTGGGCCTACTTTTTGCAGAAGTCTTTGAAGCAGAGCCTCAGCTTATTATGATGCCTGAAGAGCTTACGGTCTTCTGGGATCTCCGCCAAAAATACCTGGGCCACCTCCAGGGGACCCTGTGGGACAAGAGGCAGTTATGAAGGCCCCTGCATGGCCCCTGAGGTTTCCCGGCCTGCCTGTGCCCCCCACCAGCCGTGCCTGGTTCACGGTGGGCCCCACAGATCCCTGTAGCACCATCTGCAGCATCTTGGGGTCCGGCGGGTCCTGCTCAGTGGCAAAGGCCAGCTCCCGTGTCTTCTTCTGCATGTCCTCAATGGCCACCTCCACCGGTGTCAGCACTGTCTGTGGGGTGGGAGATGGGGCCTGCACTCACTGAGGCCTGAAGGTGACCTGACTCAAGCCAGCCTAGGACAGTCCGGACCCCAGTGTGGGGCCAGGAAAGGGGTCCAAAACCATTAGCAACAAAAAGAGTCAGGGTCCCGGCCTGCCTGGCCCTGGCTCAGGCTACTTTGTTTGGCTCTGGGGGATTTTCCTGGGGTTCAGCTCCAGGTGTGAAACCCTTAGGTCTCGGGGCTTTATGTTGGGATCTTCAGGCCTCCTAGGCCTAGAGGTAGAAGTTAGAGTCGTCAGATTGGGATCTGGTCCCTGGCCCAAGGTCCCCGCTCACCTCCTCCCGGTGGCACACGCGGATGCGTGTCTTGATGTAGGGGAAAGCATGGGCCGTACTGAGCAGCGTTTTGCGCTTGTGCTGCTCAGGCAGCTCCCCGTGTGCCCGCCCATCGGGTGTGAAGGGCGTGCAGAAGAGGAAGGTGCGCAGCCCGTAGTTGCGGTCGAAGTAGGTCACCCGGTCTTTGAGCTCGTAAGTGTCGAAGTACGGCTCCACGTATGTGATCTGGATGTAGGCCTAGGGCGGGAGGTGGGGCAGTGAGGATCCCGCGTGCAGACCCCAAGGGGCTCCATCCCTGACAAAGGGGATCTGGGCCTCCCTGGGTCTCGGGGTTTTGAATCTGGTCTCCTAATGTCTGAACCTCTGAAGAATAGGACTTGGGTTCCCTCAGAGCTGTAAGGCGCCACGGTGATACAGTGGTTAAAACACTAAAGGTCAGCAGTTCCAACCCACCAGCTGCTCTGCAGGAGAAAAATGAGGTAGTAGGTTTCCATAAAGATAAAAAAAAAAACCCCACCAAACTCACTGCCATCAAGTCCATTTCGACTCATAGTGACCCCTTTTGGGTTTCCAAGGCGGTGTATCGTTATGGAAGTACATTGCTCAGTCTTCCTTCCTCAGAGTGGCTGGTGGGTTTGAATCACCAACTTTCTGGTTAGCAGTCAGATGCCTTAGGCAAAGATTATAGCCATGGAAATCCTATGGGACAGTGCTACTTTGGCCTACAGGCCACTATGAGACAGAATCAACCTGATGACAACAGGTTTTTTCAGAGAAATAAGGGATGAGGGTTCCCCAGAAAATGGTACTTGGAGTCTCCTTGAATATAGGATTTTGGGGTCCCTAGGAGGAGTGATCAGGAGCCCCTACCTTCTGTGGTTCGAGCTTGGACTTATCCACGGGGTTGGAGTCTTTGACGATCTCGACCACGTCCTCCCCAAAGCGCTCTGTGTAGAACTCCTGGGGATGTGGGGTTGAGGGGTGGACTCAGACCAAACTGGGGCAGCCTCCCTCCTCCAGCCCCGTGGCACCCCAGGGCCTTGCTCTGCCCCCCACCGTGGGGGCATGCCTCCAGCCGGTGTGAAATCTCTGCCAACTTTGTGATGGATGGCTCCTTGTAGACAAACTCCTGCTCGTCCAGGTCACCGAAGCGGGCACCGTAGAAGCCCACGCGGAAATACGTCCCAAATACACGCTGGGGCTGTGAGTAGGGGGTTGTTGCCTGGGAGGGCCCTCTGGAGGTCTCCCTGCCCAGGAGGCAGGTGTCCTCAGGCCCCACAGGGCAGGTGGGCACAGGTCAGGGGACCCAGAAAGGGCATGGGCAAGGGGGCTCCAGAACATCAAGGCATGAAGCCAGACCATCATTAACTGTCCACGCCCCGCCCCGCTCCTTCTCCCCAGCCTTCCCCCACCCTCTTCTGCCTCCTGCACTCTCCAAGTCAGAGTCCTCATCTAACAAACGCCTGCAGTTTCTGTTTCCATCACCCGCCCCATGCAGTTCTTCACACTCTGGATCCCAATCTGAAATTGGGACTGGGGCTGTATTGATTAGGGCTGGGTCCCTGATGGGAACTCTAGTAGTGTAGTGCCTAGGGCATTTGACTGCTAATCAGAAGGGTGGGGGTTCAAACCCACCAGCCACTCCTCAGAAGGAAAGTTGGGCAATATACCGCCTCAGAAACCCAAGGAGGGGTCACTATGAGTCGATCCAACTCGATGGCAGTGAGTTTGGTTTTTGGTTTGAGTCCCTGATGCCTTGGGTCTGGACATACAGCAGGGACTGCATAAATGCTTGAGTGACTGCAGGCAGGTCTGGCTTCTCTCATGCTAGGACAGACTCTGGCTCCCTTGTTCTAGGGCATTTCTCCCTCCCCCATAGCCTAGGTTTGGAGGGGGGGCTCCCCCCACCACCAGGAAGGAAGGGGGGTGGCTCCCGTTCACTCACCAAGACAGATCCAGGCCGGGTGGGGTGGGCAAGGTGGGGGAGGCAGAGAGACGAAGTTATGAGAGGGGTCAGAGGTCAGAGCCCCCCCTCCAGGGTCCTGGTTATACCACCCACGAGAACAGTGCCACAGCAGAGAACAGGGATGGATTCAGGGAGAGAGGGGGCCTGCCCACCCCACCCGACCCGCCCGCCCAGACACTGGGTTCCTGCCATCTTTGGCTAGAAAATCCTCCCCAAACTAGGAGATGCCTAAAAATAGACCCAGTGGGGGAGAAGTGGGGAGGGGGGTGGTAGTGGCAGACAGAGATAGGGAGAGGCTGGGAAGGCAGGGAGAGATAAGAGACCAAGAGAGACACAGAGACAGAGATAGGGAGAGAGTCCCAGAGCGACAGAGACAAAGAAGCAAAGACAAAGAGAAAGATGGAGCAAGTTAAAGCCCCCCTCCCCGTGGTGACCAATATGGCCCTGCCAGAGGGAGGGGTGTCTGTGGAGAGCTCCCAGCTGGATGAGTCACAGGCTTGGAAGCTACCCTGGGAAGGGTGAGGAGTTCGGGTGCATCAAGCCCACTGAGCTCAGCCCCTGCTATGACCTGGGGTCGCCATGCTTCTCCAGCGCCCCCTGGTGGTCCCTGACCACTGCTGTCACCAGAGCCCCAGGGACAGTTGGCCACCAGAACTGACTCACCTCCCAGCCGGAGCTCTGTGGGAAGAAGGGTCAAGGTCAGCACAGCCCAGGGTCAAGGCTGAGGGCAAGGTCTGGGAGGGTATCCTGGACCCACCTGATGCATGATCTTGGTGAAGGCCTCCTGCAGTTTGCCATGCACAGCAGCCAGCTTCTTGTAGTCACGGTGGGCTTCCAGGATGGGGATGAGGGTCTTATAGACCTCATTCACTGCCTCGTAGAGCCCGCCCTGGGGTGAGGGTGGGTGCTCATTAGGTTCCCAGCACCCCTCCTTGGTCCTTAATACCAACTGCTCCCTCTTGCCTGGAACGCCTGCCCCTCTTGAGCACCAGCCCACCCTCCAGGCTCTGCTTCCATATCACCTCCTCCAAGAAGCCCACCCTGACCACCCCTGTCCCAGATAGGGCTCCAGCCTTTCCATGTGGCCCCCACAGGCCCCTTGGTGATCTCTACCATGTTTACCAAGTCTTAGTATGTAGCAAGTGCTGTGCACATCAGCACTTTCCTATGTTCCCTCATAGCAGGAGATACCATTGTGTTTTTCATTGCTCAGAGCGAACACTGAACCTCAGAGACTCCTTAGGGCTAGGACTTGAACTCAAGCCCATCTGGTACCCAAGTCCATCTGGCTTCTGGAACTTGGTAATGGCTGCTGGTGGGTGTCCCCTATCTCCAGCTGGGGTCAGCTGCAGGCCTAACACACAGCAGGCACCCTAGGCTGTCTGCTGGCTGCCAGAAGGTCATGTTCACCCTCTGGCTTCTCCCCCTGAGGCATCTGTTTCTGAGATTCCAGTAGAAATAACAATAATGAAAAGAACATTGCGAGAGATGACAAAAAAAGAGCCTTGGTGGTTTAGTAGTTAAGAGCTTGGCTGCTAACGGAAAGGTCAGTGGTTCAAACCCGTTGGCTACTCTGAGAGAGAAAGATATGGTAGTCTGTTTCTGTAAAGCTTACAGCCTTGGAAGCCCTGTGGGACAGTTCTGCTCTGTCCTGCAGAGTTGCTGCTACGAGTTAGAATTGACTCGATGGCAGTGGGTTTAGTTTTGGGTTAAAGCTGACAAGTTGATCCTGTGTCGTTGGCGCCCCACAGAGTGTGTTAGGAGGGGCCCAGCACCAGCAAAGAAATCTCGCTGGAAAATCTGACCCTGAACCTGATCAGGCCTCTACATCTAACTACAGGTTCCCAGAAATGCAGGGAACTGAGGGACATGTAAAGTATCCCCCCTCACCCTGGGGTCCTGGTTATGCTACCCCATGAGAACTATTCCATGGGCTGGAAAACCTGGAACAACGGCCCAGGTGTCCAACAGTCACCGCAAAAGAAACCAACGGCCTGGCCTTCATGCCAAGAAGCCACAACTGGTTAAAAGAAAAACTAAGGAGAGAGCCCTGTACAAGAGTGAAGAAAATAAAATTCCCAAGCTATCAAGAAATACTTAAAACTAAAAAGAGAGGAAGTGGGAACTGATTCCTATTTGTTTTTTCTCAGATTAAAAGATTTAAGAGACATGTCAATCCTGACTCCCTGGGCTCCCAAGCTGATTCAAACCTAAAAACTACAAACAAGCATTTTTGAGATAATCAAGGAAATCTACACATGGACCAGGACTGTGATGATACTTTTATGAGTCTTTGTCTGGGAGGGTTGCCCTGGGGGTATCCCTGCAGTGATAGAGATCTGTAACTGTTTTTGGGTGGAGGGCTGGAATTTGAATGTCTGGCATCTTGTTAAAAGGCAGGGCCTGGGGTGGGACCCAGGATACAGCATTCCTGACAAAGCCCTGGCCCTCTGACCACACTAAGTGGCAAAGAAGGGTTTAAAAACTGCAGCTGACGGTTACGTTTGGTCTTTTAAATTTGCAAACATTGTGACTAGTGTGTTTCTCTGCCTCTTTATGCCAAAAAATTAAAATACTACAGCTGAAAAACAGGGGGCAGGGCTAAGAAAACAAGGAGAGATGAAACAGGATGGCAGAACATGCGTGGCAGTTGCCGGATGAGGGTGACAAGCGTGGGGGACACCATGCAACTTTCTTCTTTTATGTGTGTCTGCAACATTCTATGTTGTTGTTGTTGTTGTTATGTGCCGTCCAGTCAGACCCGACTTATAGCGACCCTTCCTTGGGTTTCCGAGGCAGTATCACTACGGAAGTAGATTGCCTCATCTTCCTTCTGAGGAGTGGCTGGGGGGTTTGAACAGCCAAACTTCTGGTTAGCAGTCAAGTGCCTTAGGCACTACGCTACCAGAGCTCCCTACCAGAGCAACCTTCTATAGCAAAATGTTTTATATACTAGCTTAAGTGTACTGAACATTTACTATATCCAGGCCTTGTGATAAGCCTTTTACAGGAAGAAAGGCAGATAACAGGGCCTCTGAGGTTCCCAGAAGGAGCTCTGGTAGCGTAGTGCCTAAGGCATTTGATTGCTAACCAGAAGTTTGGTGATTCAAACCCACTAGCTACTCCACGAGAAAGGAAGACTGGGCAAAATCTACTTCCTTAAAGATTTACTGTCCTGGAAACCCAAAAGGGGTCCCTATGAGTTGGAATCGACTCAACGGCAGGGAGTTCGTTTTTTTTTTTTTGAGGTTCCCAGAAGGAGCCCTGGTGATGCAGTGGTTTATCGCTAGACAACTAACCCAACAACAACAACAAACTAACCGAAAGGTTGGCAGTTGAAACCCACCAGCGTCTGCCCTGACCTCTACACCACAATGCCCTATGAGCTCCGACTCTCAACCCCTGACTTCGTAAGCACACTCTTGCCCGGACCCTATAACCACCCCAGTATCTTAACACCTGGGTCTGACCCCTATGGCCCTGTGACTTCTGTTCCCCTCCTAGATGGTGATGCTGTCAGAGGCCTGCGACAGTGCTTGGGGGCACTGCTGAAAGATGTGGCAGTCTGCATCCGTAAAGATCACAGCCTTGAGAACCCTGTGGGGCGGCTCTACTCCGTCCTACAGGGACGTAGGAGTTGAATCGACTCTGCGGCAATGGGTACAGGAGGTTCCCAGTTCTCCCTTTCAGTCTCAGTCACAAGAAGCGCCCAGGGCAGCTCCATCCTGAGCCTCCCACAGCAGTGGAGCTGATGGTTCTGCTGGCTGCAGCCTTCACCTGAGGTCCGCCGTCTCCTGGCCCCAGGCCTTACCATGGTGAAGTACGCAGCTGCCTGCTCCAGCAGCCCCACCAGCCCCAGCTCCGTGAAGTGCTTCCCGGAACAGAAGCCCTCCTCGTCGGGTGACAGGATATCGTCGGAGATGGCTGACTCCTCCAGCACGTTGGATGAGATGTTCTGGGGGAGGAGGGGGTGTCAGAGCCTGGTCCCTGCCCTGCATGTCCACCCCTACCCATCACCCTGCTTGCTCACCTGGAAGGAAACGCAGCCCACGGGCAGGTGGCGGCTGTCCTCGAGCAGGGCGAGGTACTCGGCCACGAGAGCGGCTGCGTGCACCATGCACTGAGCGGCCTCGGCATGGTTGCCGAGCTCCGCGTGCTTCCCCGCCATGTTCTGCAGCCACGTCAACCGCAGATCTGGGGAGCCCTGGTAGCCCCGGGCAATCCTGGGGCCCAGGTGAGAGGGTATGTGAGGGTGGGGACTCACCTCGCCCTCTGTGTCTTACCCCTCAAGTGTCTAATCCCTTCCCTTGTTATCACCTGCCCTACTAAGCAGCCAGTCTCCTCACCTGTGCCCCACTCATCAGTCCATCCCTCACTTACGCATCTCCTTAGCCATTTCCGAACCTGTCCATCCTCTCACTTGGCCTCCCACTCACCTGTCTCCTCTCCTGTGCACCTGAGATATTCCTTTATCTTTCTCATTTATCCTTCTGCTGCCTGCCTCCCACAGACCAATATCCTCACCTGTTCACCCCCTCACCCATTCTCCCACTACTATGTCTCCACATCTCAGTTGTCTGTCCCCTCACCTATTCTGCTACCTATCCAACCCTTCACCTCTCCTCCCACTCACATCTCTCCTCACCTGTCCATCATCTCACCTCATCTTTTACTTACCTGTCTCCTCGCTTATCCAGCCTCATTCCCACCTTGTCACTCTCTCACTTATCCCTCTGCTCATCACTTTACCTGTGAACCTTCAGCCCCGCCCCCACTCACCAATGCCTGTACTCCAGCACCATCTCACCTGTCTCCCCCAGACCTACCTTCCCTTGCTCCATCACTTGTCCATTCTTCCTCTACTCTCAAACTCAAACCCAAACTCACTGCCATTGAGTCCATTCTGACTCATAGTGACCCCCATTGGGTTTCCAAGGCTGTAAATCTTTACAGAAGCAAACTGCCTCATCCTTCTTCTGTGGAGCAGCTGATGGGTTCGAACCACTGATGTTTTGGCTCGCAGCCAAATGCCTTAAGCACTATACCATGAGAGTTTTCTCTTTCTTACTAAATACCCCTCACTTCTCTTCCAAGTCACTTTTCCCCCTGACCTGTTCACCCTTCCCTTGTTAGCATCTCATCTGTCTCTCTGACCTGTCCCCGTCACTTGTCCTAGTCATCAGTCATCATTATGTGCCCTCTCCTCATCTGTACGTTCATCTGTACCTTTTCACCTGTTCATTCACCTGCCCTTAACTTACCTGTGCCCTCACCTGTAATGCTCACCTGTTTCCACACCTGGCCCTCCTCACCTGTTCCCTCTTTACTTGTCCTTCTCACCCCTGTATGCTTTCCTGCTCCCTCTTCACATGTCCACTCAGCTGCCTCGTCCACTGCCCATGTGCCCCTCGCCTGTCAGGGAGTGGGAGTCCACCTGGCCCTGCTCACCTGTACATGAGGTCAATGAGCATCTCGGGGTCCTCCTGGTGCTCCTTCATCTTCACCGTGTCCGTCAGGATCATATGCAGGTTGAACATCAAGTCCTGGACCTGGAGCCAGGGAACGTGCCAGTGGCGATGAGGGTGCTAGGAAGTGAAAGGGCCCAAGTGGTGGGGCTGGGGAGCCAGTGGCCGTCACCTGCTCGGCGAAGGTGCTGTCCCGCAGCCCCACGTCCTCCTCGGCATAGGTGAGGATGGTCTTGAGGGAACGTCGCAGGTGTTCTTCGCTGAAGTTTTGCGTTGTTCCCACCAGGGATGAAAGCGACATGGTCACTTGCATCTTCACGCGGGCAAAGTTCTGTGGAGGTGGGGCAGGGAGCGTGTGAGTCTTGGACCCCAGATCCTCACTGGGCCCCACCCCCTCACCTCACCAGAGCCCGCTCAACCACCTACTGCCCCGACCCCTCCGCTTGCTTCCTCCCTTCCTCACTATCACACCAAGACCCCCAGCCAGCCACAGGCTCAGGCACACCAGCCACCGACACCCCACACACAGCCTCACGCATGCCAGCCACCATCACCCCCAGCACTGACGTTGCCAATCTCGAAGTTCTGGCGCATGAGGAGGTAGAGTGAGGCGCTGGCGTGTGTGCGGATGGTGCTGACGCGGCTGCCGCAGTGGCGCAGGAGTCTCAGGCAGAGGTCGGCACACAGCTCCGTGTCCTCCTCAAACAGCAGCTCTGGGAACTGGCCCCCAAGGGCCCAGACAGACACAGCTCAGCTCCTCCTTGTTCTGGCTCAGAAGGTCGCAGGTGGGGACTTGGGCTGGGGGACAAGGGCAACTGCATAGTGGGCTTTGGAGTCAGACTGGAATTCAAGTGACCGTGGCTGAGTGCCTTTGCCGCCTTGAGCCTCAGTTTCCTCCTCTGTAAACAGCAGCCGAGGGCTCTGTGCCTTGTGGAGTTGCTGGTACACAGTAGGTGCTCAGTGAAGAGGCTGCTATTATTACTCTAAGAACCATGACGGTCAAGTAACGGCACTCACCTTGGACACCAGGGCCCGTTGGGTGGCCAAGCCATGCTGCAAGAAGATGGCACTTTGAGCACTGCCCAGACTGTACAATACAACCTTCAGCACTGCCCCCAAAACACTCTCCCGGGCCTCTGACAGCATCACCGTCTAGGAGGGGAACAGAAATCACAGGGCCATAGGGGTCAGAGACCCAAGTGTTAAGATACTGGGGTGGTTATAGGGTCAGGGCAAGAGTGGGCTTACGAAGTCAGGGGTTGAGAGTTGGAGACCACAGGGCACTGTGGTGGAGTCAAAGGTCAGGGCACATGCTGGATCAAGCCCTACCTGCACAATGATTTCCAATGTGTCCAGAACCACCAGACTCGCTTCAGTTGCCAGGTTCCCATCCACCAAGGCTTCATGTTCCATTTCATCTTTGGTCCTGGGGGGCAAAAGGGACTTGGGGGATCCACTCAAGGCCAGAATCCACCCAGTGACTAAGCGCTCCCCCTCCCATGGCTGCCCTGGGGGCACCAGCTCTCGCCCAGTGAACCACCTGCCACCCACACCCACTTGTCCACACGGTCCGACGTTTGTCTCCAGTGAGTGATGCTCTTCCGCCAGCGTACGTTCTCCTGGTTCCCAAATGGGCTTCTCTCTAAGACACATGTATGTTCACAGATGTGCAAGAAACATAAGGACACACGTGATTATGAGGAAAAATACATAGGCACAGAGGTACACATGTGGGGTAGGCTAACCACAAAGGTACCGGCTGAAGCAGAAGCTTGCTGAGCAGATACACACACTTAGACATGACCTGTGAGAATAGATGGGAACACAGAGACCTGTGTGCCTAGGGATGATGCACGCATTTCCTTCCTGGAGCTGGACAGAGGGCTAGGGATGGCTGCTCTCCTAGGGTCCCTGGGACATAGTTTGGGAGCAGCTGGGGGGACTGGCTGTGTAGGGTCATCTCTGTCTCACCACGACTCCGCCGCACCATCTCCTGTCGTGCCCCTATGGTTCCCAAGATGGCTTCCTCTAGGCGAGCTTTCATGTCCAGTGACTTCTTGAAGGTGAGGCTGTTAATGCGCTCAAAGGCCTTTTTCCCCTGAGGGCAGAGAACAGAGTGTAAGGTTGACTCTGTCTCCTTCTGTGAGACCTGGGCCAGTCTAGTCCCTCTTCATGTGATTCTTTCCTTGAAGATCTATATCACCCCTTTATCCCGAGTCCTCAGCACCTTCCATACTCTATTTATGAAGACCATTCACCCTTTACTCCTTGGCTCAGCAAAAAAAAAAAAAAAAAAAAAAGCAACTGCACACCCCTTTACCTCAGCCTCTCAGGAACCTGTGCACAGAAACAATCTACCCCTTTACCTCAACCCGTAACACCAAGGTTCTGTTGTATGATCCATATCCTACACCCTAGTCCCTTCCCTGCCCCTGCTCTCAAACCTTGTACTCAAAGGCAGCCAGGCAGAGGTGCAGCAAGTCCAAGAGACGACCCAACTGAGGGAGGGACAGGTCTGTGGCCCAGCGCTGCAGCAGGGCTGGCTCTGCGTTTTTCAGCACCCACAACACACACACCAGCAATGTCCGGCTAGACTCAGCAGACAGTGGGCTGCCTGAGCGAGAAGCCTAGGGTCAGAGACAGGACAGAAAGAGCAGAGTCAAACCTGTCCACTTTCTCCACAGAGGAGGAGACCTGGCTGATATGTATCTTATTACATAATTTCTCTCACTCACTTGGATGATGTTTCTAGGGACAAGCCTCGAACTTACTGTCGGTGGCCCCTGAGAGATGCTGGCCCGGGAGCCAGGGGCCAGAGGGCCACCAGCGATCGCCATGGCCACTGAGGGGTTGATGGTACCTCCAATGTCCCCTTCTCCTTCTGTGTCTGAGTCAAGCACTGAAGCCAGCCTTGACCGCTGACCTGGGCCCTCTGGAAGGAGGAAGAGAAAAGTGAGGCCTAAGTAAGTGCTGTCCCTTGTCTCAAATTTCAGCTCAGAGGTTACCTCTTCAAGGAAGACTTCCCAGCCCCCTAGACCAGACATTATCTCTTAGACATATGTGTAACTAGAGTCTGAGAGGAAAGGAAAGAGAGAAAGTGAAGTCGGAGGGAAAAAAAAAATCAAGAGATCATGGCTGAGAATTTCCCTAAACTGATGGAAGAGATCAACCTACAAATCCCAGTTACCTGGATCTCCAGTTATCTGCTCCCAGAGTGCACTTATTATAATTATAATGAGATACCTTAATTGTGTAATTGCTTATAAGCTCCACAAGGGCCTGAACTGTATCTGCTCTAGTCACAGCTATGTTGTTGTTGTTGTTGTTATGTGCCATTGAGTTGAACCCAACTCATAGCGACCCCTCCTTGGGTTTCCGAAGCAGTACAGTATCACTACGGAAGTAGATTGCTCTATCTTCCTTCCGAGGAGTGGCTGGTGGGTTTGAACTGCCAGCTCTCTGGATAGCAGTCAAGTCACAGCTATATGCTCAACATTAAAACATGGCTTGGTCCACATAAGTAGTTAATAGTAAAGATGATGGTGACCATAATAGCAAATACCATTTTTACTGTTATAGCATCAGTTAACACTTGTGCATCAGTTACTATGCTCCAGGCCCTGTTCTAGGCACTTAAACAGCATTTACTCTCAATCTTCAAAATAACCCATGAGATAAATACATTTATTATCCCTATTTCATGGATGAGGAAGCTGAGGTGCAGAGAGGTTAAACTACTTACCCAGTATCATACAGCAGTAGTTAGGATTTTAATCTAAATAATCTAGTTAAAATCTATGATCTTAAAAAACTCCTTCCCTCCCCCCAAAAAAATCTCAACAAAGGGGGAGGAGTTAACAAAAAATACATAACAGGTTTCACCCTAGAGAATTTTGAAACAAAAAGTTATCTGAGTTTAAAAGAGCATCAGTCCAGCCCAACCCTGCTCAATTTCTGACTGGTCTGAATTAATTAGCTTGTCATCCTATCTGCCTAAGAAAGAGAAAGTAGAATCGTCACCAGGGAAACACGGTATTACTTCAGATTCTCTAGTTCTTGTATGTTCAAAACACAATAAAAAAATTACAAGATATGTGAAGGGGCAGGAAAATGCAACTGATGAGGGAGAGAATAATAATAATAATAATAATAATAATAATAAAAAGTTGACCCACCTATGACCAAACATTGATGTTAGCAGACAAGGACTTTAAAATAAAAATTAGAAAGAAAGAGGGACAAAAATAGGCAAAAAGATGGATCATTTCAACAAACAACTAGAATCTACACACACACAGACATTTAAGCAATCGAAAAACATAATTTATCTAAAATTAAGAATTTGATGGACAGATTTACAGAAGACCAAACACAGTATAAGACAGTAATAATGAGCTTAACGACAAATGACAGAAGATACTACAACTGAAGCACAAAGAAAATTAAAAAAGAACAGAGCGTGATAGACACAGATGACCCAATCAAAAGGTCTAACGTACGTGTAATTGGAGTCCCAGAAGGAGAGGAGAGCAAGAAAGTGAAGTGGGGAAAAAAAAAACAAGAGGTAATACCTGAGAATTTCCCCAAACTGATGGAAGAGATCAACCCACAAATCCCAGATTTGTGCTTCTGATCACTGTACTATACTGTCTCTCAACAGTTCAATGAATGAATAAATGGAAGCAGGGCTCCAATCATCCTCTCACCTGCTGATGTCTACCTTCCTTTCCTTACATCCTCTGTTCTTAGATGATAACAAATGTCATAATAACATCTCCCATTTAGTGTACGCTGATAATGTGCCACCACTACAGCTCCTTCGAGTCTCACAAAACCCCATGTAGTGGCTGGTGCTTCTATTGCCCCCATTTTACAGGTCAGAAACCTGAGGCTCAGAAATGTTAATGGCTTGACTGGGCTCACACAGTTAATGGCTTGAACCTGCTCCACTGGCCCTAATGCTGTGTTCTTCACTCTAACTTTGCTCTCCCACTTTTCTTATTCTGTGCCTGTGTCCCTGGATCATGTGACACCATCCTGCCCTGGCCCACTGACCAGCAAAGTCGTGCAGCCGTGGCAGTGTGTCCCGTGAGAGTGAGAGCAGCGGCAGGTACAGCTCGGCCACACGGGCCTTCACAGTGGCGTCAGCATAGCGGGGGTCAGCATCATGGCTACATAGCAGGCTGTGGATGGCACTGATGGCCTTCTTGTGTAGCAGGGATGCTCTGCAGGGTAGTGGGGTGCTCAGGATGGGAAAGACAAGGCCCTTAGACTTTCCCACCCTCCCTGGAGCTGCACAGGACCTACTCACCCCTCAGCCTCAGGCTCAAGGGCCAGCGCCAGCTCCGTCAGCAACAGGCCAGCCAGGAAGTGCTGCTGGCGGAATGGCCCACTCAGCTCAAACATGCTGGACACCTTGGGGTCTGGTGCCTGACTGGAGAAGGCAGAGCTCTGCAGAGGGTGGGGGTAGAGATCAGGGATGGCCAGTGGTCAAGTATCAGAGGTGACAGGTCAGTTGTTAAAGCCATCTGGGAATGGCAGAAGCCATGAGTCTAAGGATCGGATGAGGGGTTGGGATTAACTCATCTGGAGGTGACAGTGAGTGTGGAGTTAAAAGTCAGAGGTGAGAGGTTGGAGTTAACCCATCTGGGAGGTGAGAGAGAGCATGCAGTCAAAGATTAGAGATCTGAAAAGTATCAGATGAAATGCAAGCCTGGGATTTAGGGTTTAGGGGTCAAAAATGAGACCCTAGTTCTCCTGGGAAACTACCCGGAATTAGGTGTCATAGGTGAGGGGTCAGTTCACCTGGGCAGTGGCTTACTGTGAAAAGGCAAAGATGAGAGAGCCATAGAAGATGGGTTGAAGGTGAGAGGTCATAGGACAACCAGAGGAGTGAGAAGTGAGGCTGGCTCACCTGGGAAGTGGTGGAGGATATGGAGGGCGAGGGTGAGGCTGGGGGCGACAGGGGGCAGCACGGGAGGTTGAGGGTCACGTAGTGTTCGTGGCTGCAGAGGACACGGGTGAAATCCATGCGCAGGGTCAGCAGGGCCACCGGGTTGGGGGCCGACTGTAGCCGTGTGGCCACCTGTGGGGGCAAGAGCATGCTCAACAGGTACTCACACTGCTCTACCCAGTGCACCCACCGCTCCTGCCATGTCATCCACATCACCTACCCGCCATGCCCCTCATTCCTACCCCTACCTGCTTGTAGTGGGCCCGGACCAGGCTGAAGACGAAACCGCGGTCAGCCAGGGACAGGAGGTCGCTGAGGAAGAAGGCCAGGCTGGTGTTGAGGTGCTCTGCCAACTCTGTATCCTGGGGGCACAGGGGCTTGTCAGCCCATGCCCACGCTGCCCTAGCAGAGCCGCCCCCCGACTCAAGCCTCCAGGGACCTCCACAAGCCATAACACTGCCCCAAAGCCTTCAGCCTTCTTGATACACCCTCATCTCTGGGCACCAGCCAATCCTGGTGCCCTCCTCCCTCTGACTACCCCTCTCTTCCCCACGCTCATGTGTCGATATTCTTCAGGGCTCCATTCAGGACTGTTTCCTCTCTCACTGAAATTTAAATAACATACTCATGGTAGAGACTACATACTCATACCCCCAAAGATCTTCTCTCTCCCTATTTTGTGGCAAGAGAATCCTGGTTCAGAACTCAGAGCTGGGTAGAGACTACATTTCCCAGACTCCCTTGCAACTGGGTCTACCCATGTGACCATATACTAGCCAATAGGATTTGAGAAGTGAGGTGACCGCTTAAACTCAGGGGGCAGGTCCTCCTCTTTCCTCAGCTTATAATATGGATGTGGTGGGCACCATAGTAAGCTGCAAGGACCAGGCCCACTTATGCTCAAAAATAAACTTTGGTCACATTTCAACCACTTGTGATTATGTTACAGCAAATTAACCTCCACCCTAACCAATATACCCTCATTAATCATTTAACAACATTTACTGAGCACCTCTGGTAGTGTAGTACCTAAGGCACTTGACTGCTAACCAGAAGGCTGGTGGTTCAAACCC